AGTGTAAGAATAGGTCTGCATGAGATGTGCGTCATCTAAAAAAAATCTGGCAAAACTGACGTCCTCTTACCTGAAGACATGTAACAGTCATCGCTTCCCCACTGACACCACCAATGAACAATACGTGGCACAGAAAATTGAAACTAAGCTCTTTTTTGTCTTTTTGTTTTCAGTACAGAAAAAGAATGTGTCACACTACTGACAATGGAAAAAATAAGAGTCACAGATACGTTTGTGAATGAAACTTTAATTCTGGCGTAGTAAAAGGAATGTTTACTTGCAATTTCTTTTGGGAATGGCAGTCTTTATTCTGGCTATTGGAGGAGGTCACAAGGCTGGCAGGCAGGAGTGTGGGCTACCTCTGTCTCACAGATAAAAGGATATGAGGGAGGAAAAAATTAAACGTACCCAAGAATCTCAGTGGCATTAAAGACGACTGTCCATAGTTAGACGTTTTGGCCATGATGCTTTATTTTCTTGTGGGTTTCTCCACTTGTATTTTTTTCCAGGGAACGGAAGTTGAGTATTCTCTTTCAGCAGAAGTTGCATATGTTGTCCTTTTAGAATTGTGATTTTGCCTCTTCAGGGACATGTACTGTATCTACTGTAGGGATCGTATCTGTTGCTCTACCGCTGGGCTCCTCTTAACCTATAATGGCTACCTCTCCTCTGTACTGTACGGGCTGGCTCCTGTCCTGGGTGTCAGAAAAGACCTGAAGCACTTGGGTTTCTCCTATTTTGACTCCTTAGGGGAGATGTTACAAAATATAAAGCATGGATGGGCCTGAATACCAAACCTGAGAATCCAAATGTGGGCATCAAGGGCAGAAACCTTTCCAAATTTAGATTAGAAGACAGCACTGCTTTTTAATCTGTGCTTACTTTCTGCAGTAAAACACATAGTGCTGAATGTCCTTTGACTTTGCATCAGGCACACTGCACCAGTTATATTTATACAGTGTGGTGTACACTGGATAGCCTTTAAAATCTCAAGCAGCAAGTAGAATGGATTTTATCTTCTATGGATATTAATGGGCCATTTCTGTGGAACTTGTTTTTATGTCTTCATTCAGATGATACAGACCAACCTTATTGATGCAACTGAATAAGAATAGTATTTTTTTATACGAACAAGGAGGATGTACCCCCTTATGAAATAAACCATGCTGCTGATAGGTTGAGTTTCTGGAAGTGACTAAGGGTTGTTAGAATCATGAACAATGGAATAATAGTCTAAACACCTGTATTTTTATGTTAAAGAGCCAGTGATTGGAGGATTTTTCATTCTTCTGAGCTGGTGTTATGAACTCCAGAAAAAAAAAGGACTGTGAAAAAGTTAGAATTGCTTTTTTAGCATTCTGTTACACATTTCAGTCAGAGAAATCACAGAAAAATGATGCAGAATGGAACACCTAGGACTGGAGTTTCGACACCCACTCAAATACTTTTGATACTGAGCGTTGAAATACTGTGCAAAGATGCTGTAATACCTATAAATCCACTAGAGGGAGAAAGAAGGCTGTTTTCGCTCCACCCAGGAAATTGATTTGTAATAACATAAAAATCCAGCTCTGGTTAGCCAGTAATTAAGCTACCTCTTTATGTGTTCTTTTTTTGTATTGTTGTATTGAGAACCTTTCTCCTTAAAACTTAATTGATCTGCTTTTTTGTTCAGCATTAAAATTAAATGTATTTCTTGAGTCAGATTTAAAAGTATTGCCAGTTGTTAGATACAGTCCATATGAAATCTATAACCCATCCACAAACACCACAACTCAGATCTGAAGGAAAACTAAATAAATTAGAGAAGAAGTTCCTGCTGCATTGTTCTTCATCTGTCGTACATAAAGCTAACAATGCATACAAAATGCTGGTTTTATCGTGACATTTTACTGGTTTTTAAATCAGTACAATAATAGTTTTGATAATACTTTTTTATCATAACTACAGTATTGAATTTTATTTTCACAGTATTCTTCATATCTACTGTACGTATAATGCATCCTAAACTGACAACATAGCCTGTTTGTATGGGTTATACAGTATGTACTAACAAAAAGATTTAATGGTTCAGTAGTTGATGATTCAGGAGGTGATGTGCTAGAACAGTGACATTAATTACACGTTCAGCCCAGAGACATCAAATTAAAGCAGAATTGGCCAGACACATCACCTCTAGGCTAAATAATCATACTTTAGCATACAAGGCATTGCCAGACACAGGGGCGTTGATGAAGGGATATTTACAGCACACCACAAATAATCCAGAAACAACGTTAATTATGATGTATTTATTGTATGATTAAGAAAAGTTATTAGTTAAGATTTGGGAATTTATATTCCAGAGCACTGATATTTACTCCTGGCACTGGAGTGTCTCTGGTTTTCCTTTCACCCTGACCTCGAAATTTCTTTATTTACTGTATATAAACTGTTCACATAATTAGGTCAACATTACCAATTCTAGTTGTTTCCAGGACTTCTCACTGAAAATAGCAAGATACCTACAGCAAGAACCCCCTGTGGTTGTCTGTGACCAGGATTGGCCACTGTTCTAGGGGATACATTGTGCTTACTTGTTCCATCCAGAAGAACTGACAAAAGTACCAGCTTGTGTAGAAATAACCTCTTTATTTGTTATTCGTTGAAACACCACCACAAATTAAAAATAAGATTTCTTCGATGATGTGGGTGGTGTCAAACAAAAATATGTCTAGTTAACAGATGTGTTTGGGAGTTACAGCTATCTCTTGGTGAGAATACAAAACAGAAGAACATGGAGATCAATACAGTTTGCTCGAAGTTTATTTACACCAGGTGAATCAAACCCGCTGTCGTTCACTGGCAGCTGTTGAGGAAGGTCCAGAAAGTGCAGATAGTGAGTGGTCCAGTGCTCCAGAACCAGGACTTTCAGGTGAAAACTATTTAAGTGAATGGGGAGACTATAGAGATCTCACCACTGTGACTCGTAATTAGGTTATAGAAACGAAATCAGTCTGAAATTGGCATTTTGATACCGAGTGGAAAATACACTAGGTAACTACAGTATGGACTCCATATTAAGGCCTCTAAAGTATGTACAATATGATATCTCTTTACTGTGTGTGTCTAGAGATCAGAGATGCAATTCGGTTTGGAGATCAGAATGTGTATCAGTTTCTGTCTTACAGAGAGATTAGAGAGAAGTTGCTTTGTTTGTGAACACTGTCTCTTTCAAGTCAGTCTATTCAGTCAAGCTCTCTTGTCAAGAGATGAATCACAAGATAGACTTCGCAGGTATTAGAACTATTCTTCACACTATGGGATTTTGGCACAACACCAAAATATGAAAGCTTATTTTGACGCACGCCGGCAGGGAGCATCTGCTGTTTCTTTATCTTTCAACTGAAGGATAAGAAAAAATATCTCAGCACTAGCACTGAAAGATTCATATAATAGATTTGTGGGTGACTTGTTCGCCTTGTTGATAGTCTGAATTGTTTCTGTTCTATAGTACATTCTAGATGTAACTGGCAGGTTGAAATTCCACAAGAATATCTTAACTACCACCCGGGCTAAGTGAGTGTTGAAATCTGGGAGAGGGATCACTGACAAATATGTAAAGTTTCGTAAACTATCAAATACCCTGCGATGAAATACTGTACTTCATTAAACTACGGAAATTATCATTGCGCCAGAAATGAGAAACAGCTGTATTGCGATGCTACAGTATGTTCTGTGTACAGTATATAAACTTTAAACTATTAAATAAATATTTAATACACAATAAAGTTGTTTCAACATGATCTACTGTACATGCAACCTTACTCAGTACTGAAGGGCTAAGCTTGGACAAGGATGCTAAATGTTCCACCTTACTGTTATATATCCAGCCCCTTTTTTAATGTGAGAAACTTCAAGAGCAATTCACGCTTCAGTATTGCTTAGTTTGTATAATTCTACACCCACTGTCAGGGTTGTCCGAGCTCAGACTGCAGGGTGGGTCTGCCTAATAGGTCCTGTCATGGAATGAAGGAAGGGCACATGCCTTCATTATTAACAGTGAGTTTCATGCCTTTGAAACAGAAAGAAACAAACACGAGGTGACAGTTTCACTTTGTCTCCATTTCTTTCAGTTTTTTTTTTGCCAGGCATTTTTTTTTGCCAGGCATTCTGCAAGTTGCCTGTTAGCTTTTGACCTTTGGCTTACTGTGGTTTGAAAGGCCAACTCGCACTCCTTTAACACTAACCGGATCAGAGATGTCTGACAGTTTTTCAAATTGGAAAAAATAAATTACATACAGAGAATCCCCTCCAAGTTCTATAAATTTTGGCAGCTGGTTTTTAGTTTGAAATGTACATTCTCCTTTCTGAAGTGACTCTCTCTATGTTTGACATTAACTTGTGCCAAATGTATAGTGGTGGCAATCCTTGACAAATTACAACTTCATTTTTGCATTGTTTAATAAGCTTAATGCAAGAAGCATGACTTCTATTTCTTTTTGCTACCTTTTTTCAAACAAATTAAAATGTTTAAATCCCCAGCAATGTTTATTGATATTCCAGTAATATTTTGTTGACATCGCTGCAATGCAGAATAAAGTTTTATTGATGTTTTTTTAAATAAACTTTTAAGAGCATGTATTCTTTTGAGAGTCCTCCCACACTATACCTCTTCATCTACATTTTTCGGTATCTTCTCGGCTCTGTGGCTAAGGATCTGTGCCTGTGGCTGGAAGGTTGCCGGTTCGTATCCCGTGGCTGGCAGAGGAATCCTACTCCGTTGGGCCCCTGAGCAAGGCCTTTAACCCCAACTGCTCCAGGGGTGCCATATAAATGGCTGACCCTGCGCTCTGACCCCAAGCTTCTCTCCCTGTCTGTGTGTCTCAGGGAGAGCAAGTTGGGGTATGTGAAAAAGGCAAATTCCTAGTACAAGAAATTGTATATGGCCAATAAATTGATCTTATCTTCTCACAACTGAAAGTAACCCTGAACTCTCTGTTTTTTACCTGTTTTCACAGAAGGGAAGCCTAAGTTACTCAGAATCTGAACTGCATAAGAGCAGCAAGTCAAAGAAATTTGGAACCTTTACTTTTGGGTGGAGGAAGAAAAAGAAGGACATCACAAAAAGTTCCATCAACCTGGATTTTGAAGAAACTTTTGAGAAAAGTGTTACAGGTACAACAGAAGATTTGGGCAATGGAGAGTCTGCTCAGATCCATGACTCCACATCTGAGATGCAGGAGGAGACGGTGGATGCTTCCCAGTCCAGGCATGTTCGTTTTCAGTCGTTGAAATCCCCTGAAACTTTGCCTAACCCGGAGGTAGAAGCTTCTATCTCCCCTGACCTCAACCAGCTTCAGGCTGTGGATCATCAGGAAGAAGATGTCAAGGAGGGGGAAGTGGCAGGGAAGACCGCTGATCCTGGGAGACCTCCAGAGTGCTTGCCCAAGTCAGCAGAGAATATTTCAGATTCCAACTTAGAAAGACCAGTGAGCGAAGAGCAAAAGCAGCTTCAGAAAAAGATCCAGAGGAGATATTCTGGTCAAACAAGTAATGATAAAGCGACGTCTGCTGCAGGTCCCCTGAGGAGCAGTCCGGAGAGATTAAAATTAAATTCTTCAGTTGGCGGTTCTAGCCCAGTTAAATCAGCTTTATACAGGGCTTTGTCTTTAGAGGCTGATTCATTAAGTACCAAGAATGATTCCACTGAAGAAGAGACGAGGAATGTTCATCAGATGGCTGAAGACAGACCTGATGATTACAGTTTAATTGCAGCAGAAGACACAGACGAATTATGGCAGCAGGGTGAAAATTCTAAGGGATATGAAACAGCTGAGAGAGAAAGAATTAGTGGATCAGCAGAGCAGCCTCCTAACAAGGCCAGCCTAGCTGTGGACTTCTCCCCATCACAAGAACCTTTGGTATCGAAGAAGAATCATGAGAGTTGGTCCGGATCTCAAGTTGGAAACACATTAGCCCAGGTGGAAGAATCAACTAGGGGAAGTAGCAGAAAGAGTGTCTTCACACCTGGCAGCACTGTCTTGCCTACTGAAACAGTGGAAAACCATAGCCTAGGTGAAAATATGGTTCTGCATGGTTTAGATGATGGACTAGGCACTTCAGAAGAAAACAAATCAGAAACTAATGAAAGCTGTCAACAGAAGTTTTGGGGTAATAGTTCTTTCTCAAACATCTATAAAGACCAGCTTTATTCAGATGAGTTGTCATCAGATGTATCCCCAACTGAGCAAGAGGAAATACCCGTTACCAAGCCCGATCAAGATCTGAATCAAAGAAATCAAACAGAACATGAATTTCGAGGAGATCAAAGCTTAATAAGGGAGAGAAACAAAGATACCCCTGACAAAAAATCCTTACAAAATACCCATCCTGACATAGAGGGCACAAAAATCAGTGACACTGATTCAGCTGACCATAACAAAGTTGAGATAAGGGGAGAGCTATGTGAGATCTTTCAAGATGAAACAGAAATAATAGCTCAAGAGGAGAAAGACACTAATTGCACAGTCCAATCTTCTGTGCTCCTTGCAAACAAAGAAAACTGGGTGCTTAGGCAGTTTGAAAGCAGCAGGGAGGACCTGAAGGATTTAGGCCAATCAGGACCAGCACCTAGGAATTTTGAAGAAAAAGAAGCCAGTTTTGAGACTGGACCAGGTCAAGCCAAGATTAAGCAGGCAGAACAACGCCTGCCCATCTGTGAGGCAGTGGACCACGAATCAATACAGAGGAGGGCCTGGGGCTATGAAGGGAGTGAAGAATTTCTGAAGGAACCTGTTCAGCAGGTTTCTAAAAGAGAGGAATCCTTGGCATCTCCGCCCACAGGAGGGTGTAGAGCAGAGGACAGGGAGGAGACCGTGGCAAACAACACAGAAAACCTGAAGCACCCAGAGCAGCTAGCTGCCCCTCCCTCTCAGGAACAGGGCCAGGAAGTATCACACAGGGAAGTGTGCTCACAGCGAGACACCTCCAGTAACTTCCACCTGAATGACAGATCAGCTTCTGTCGTTTACCCTGGAGAGAGAACAGCTGAAAAGTGAGTAGCAAGTTCTAAAAATAAGCTCACCATAAATTTAATGTAGAATATAATAGTGAATTCTGTGCTTGTATGGTTTTTGTGCTTACGTGAGTATGCATTATCTGGTAGTACAGAGAATATGAACCAAGAACAAGATATGTTGGGCTTATCAGGTACGATTAGAAAAATGCTCCAAGCAGAAGATGTGTGGTACAATGCCCGTCTTTGTGAGTATGATTATAAAACAGAAAAAGGGAAGCTACTGTACATATGTTTCTATATGAAAATAAGAGTAATTTACTTAAAATTGCTCAAAGATTTCAGCTTCAAATACTCTTATCAGCATATTTTAAATATGGTTTTCACAGTGTTTTCACAGTGCATTTCATATTTCATACACTATTCCATTATTTTTGTACCTTTGCTTGTTCTATACTGCTGTGTACATCTTAAAAGGGAAAAGGTTGGTTTAGTTAAAGAGAATACACAAAGTGTAGAATGCCTTTTCTAAAGTATAAAATTACGTTTCTGAAGCTCTGCAACCTGTATATTATAACAAAGAATATTTTTTTCTGCTTCAAACTTGCTTTTCTGTCAAGGAGACTAGACAGGGTTCCATTGTTCCGATTCAATAAGCCTTGTTAAATCAGTTTTTATTACTGGAAAAGTTTTAAGCCTTGTAAACCTTTGGGACTTTTGTGTTGCATAAAAATGCATTGCAAAATGCAGGAAATCCAATGAAATAACTTGGCACCTACAGCATAGCGTATAAAGAGTTTTGAAGGTAAATTGGTTCATGTTAACTAATTGGAATTTTATTGTAAGTCAAACTGTTGAAATGGGAAACCATAATTTATTTACATTAGATGTGAATGAATGTTGTTTATTTCAGTGTGATCTTTATGAATGGAAGCTGTTTTAGTTGTGATTTCTTAAAACACATCTTCAATTAACACAATCAAAGTGATTTAATTTTCTTTTGATCCTGTGTAAAATGCTTTAAATTTGTACTACAGTGATGATTAATATGCATGCTGAAAAAAAATCAACACCAAATTGTAATAAGGTTACTTGTATCAAAGTTCAGCCTTATAAATTTGCATTGTGATTATAGCTTTCCAGTGGTTCCTGTGCATATGTGATGCATTCTCTTTGCTTTTCCTTAGTTTTATTACAGTATTTCCACCATGTTATGTATCTATTTACTCTTCTAAGAATTGGAACATCAGTCCAGATTTTAGAAATCATTCAGTTTTCAAATACTGTTTTTAATTTAAACTCTTATGCCATATCTTTGTAAATAATATTGTTTTGGTCCCAGCCAACACCAGCCTTTGACCTGATAATGATGTCATTGCTCTTTACTCATGTGTGTATTTGTTTTGTAAGGAGGCTGTTAGCGATACAGTTTTCTGACATATGAAATTAACTATTCATAATTGTTTCAAAATATATTTAATGAGTCTAAAGTCCAAACATAGACAAAAGCAGAAAAAGTTCATATTAATTTCAATTTGCTGTTGTTGCTGTTGTCAGCATTATTATAGAAAACATTATAGCCAGGAAATGCTAAAGAAAGACAAAATGATTTTTAATTTTCACATTTTCCTGCATTTCCACATCACTAATTTCAGTGTTTCAGTATTGCAAGAACAGTGAGTCTGTCAGGGTTTCAGTTCAGGAAAAGAAGAAGGTAATAAGGGTAATAACATAATAACAGTGTGCATTTCTCACTGAAAGAAAGTTTTTTTTTAACATATGTGTTCCACTTCCAGCCTTCGGAAACAATTAGGAGGATTAAAAAATAAGGTGAGCAATTATTACCGGGTTGTTGGAAAGTGGAACAAGCTCCCCATTCATGTTGTTGAAACTGATACCCTGGATTCCACTAAATAGCAGAATGGTATCCTTGGATCAACCAGCCACTAGCAACTGAGCTAGATCAGCCAAGTGGCCTCCCGTTGTTTGTGAAATTTGCAAACCCATCTTCTTTGCTGCCTAGAATATCCAGGACCCAGAAAATCCAGAACATTTTAATACCTTTTCTCACTTCTTAGAATGTTCTATATATAATGTGTACTGTATTTAATTGCTTCTAAGACCCAGTGCATTCCTACATATATATTCTATATACTGTACATCCTGCTGTCCATAGACTGAACAGATGTCAGTGACAAGAACAGACTTGCTGGAGTCTAGCAAGAGGATCAACTAGTGAAGAACTCCACTCACATCACAAGTGGATGTTATATAAATCCACAGAATTGTTGCCTTCAAATTAGTCCTGTCATTAGGTGACCATGATCTCGACACTGCAAGGACAGATGCATGACAGTCAAGGGTGGGTAGGTTTGGAGTCTGAGAGACCTTGCTCTGCAGAAGGCAGCCTTGTGGTTAGCCATGTGCCTGCAGGCTTGCAGCATTAAAAGTGGGAGATATGTCAAGCTTCCAATCTGGCACTGAACTCTTCAACTGTATGTACACCCTGGGCACGTGGTTCAAAAGAAAAGCAGCAGAATATGTCATTGCTTGTTTCAGAGCATGCAGGCATGTAGTTTGCATCCTGCCTGTGCTGGAAAGGGGGGGTTATAATATTGATTTCGCAACAGGCATTTTCAAAATAATGAGTTTTTCCACAAGTACTGTAATGCCAATGTTTGTAGCAGTTTGTCAGGTCTGCGTCCAGCTGTTTAGTGCATTAATGCTGTTTCATCTAGGTTCTCTTTTCCAACACAGCACTGTTTAAATTTAAAACAACAATTACGTTGAGATGCCATCAGGGACATCAGGCTTTGATTTTAAACCATTTTGTTAAAAATTAGGTACACAGGTCAAACTATTCTTAAGGCAAGGATTATAATGAATTGGGCCAGCAGTATGAGATCTGGTTATGTCATTTGTTTAATCATTTCTGGTGAGTATATACTATTTAAGCTCAGTCTCTGGTGACTGAACAGCATTTGCATTTGCCAGTCAACTCAGGAAATCACAGTAAGGAATGTTAAAATTCACTTTGACTCGAAGAGACATAAACATTCAAGTAAAGCTGTGACTTTGTCTGGTAATACAAAGACAGCTGGGCATGGTTTATAACCAGCCGTATTATTTTATAATAATAAAATAATAAAATATTTTCCAGGTAAATTTGGAAAAAAATCAAACTGTAGACCATACATAGCTATGCATTATTTGTAGAAATCTTATTTTGTCTTTGTAAAGTATGTATTCTAGATATCTTGAAACATGTCGCATGCTTTCAGTTGTTTAAAAGATTATGTTAATTAATATCATTGTTAACAATGGGTCACAAAATAGATCAGCATTACCTAATAATCAACTGACTTCTCTTGGATTACAAGAGGTAGGACAATTTCTAACTTTGAAAAAGAAATACGTGTTAAATGGTGAAAAAATGAGAATCTGAACTGTCCTAATATTAGGGTTGTAATGGGGCAGGATGATAACCATAATTAATATGTTGGATTATATTGTTAGTTATTGAAATAGCATTATCATTATTGGATGTACACACAGTGAAAGTAAATAGTTCTCAGATACCTGCAGATAGCAATGAACCAAACTAAAACAGAAATAAATGTGTTGAAATCATTGGCTTATCCAATTTACAATCCATTTATAAAGGAAGACAGAAAATGCAATACAGTATGTTTTCTGGCATTTAATCTCATTTAAATCTTTGAGACAAAAATGGCAAATGAAAATAAAGTGTTCAATTACTCTCCTCCCTCTTACGTGGCTTTTAACAGTTTTGAGAACCTGAAGTAATGTGCGAATTTGCAGCAAGTCAGTTGGTTTAAAGAAGGAGTATGAAGGAGCATAAATGAGATGTTTATGTGAAATTAGTTATCATGACACCCTGGAAAAATGTACATAGTAAAGGGGGATTCATTTTTGCCCTTCACAACAAAAGGTACCTTGGCAGGGAAATTCGAAGAAAACCTTTCATTTCACATAGCAGTGTGTATACCTCAGTTAACTGACAAAATGCTTACAGTGCACAAAAATGTGTTCAAAGCCAGAGGAGTAAAAAAGCATTTAAAAGTTTGTAAGCTTGTATAATCTGTGTAAACCAGCTTTGTTTCATCTGGTTGTAGAACAGTCAGATTTTTCCTTATGTATAAGTGCACATGATGAATCCCAGATGAGTTACGCACAGAAACTTACAATTGTTTGTAATAGATTGCTGATAGAGAGACACAGCTATCTCACTCTGAAAGACAAGCTGTTGGCACTTTTCTCACCAGATCGGCATTGCTGACACACCCCGTGAGGCATAACTAAACTCCCAAAAGGAACTAGACCCACATCTCAAAGGCCAAGACTGAACTAGGGAAACTGCTTTAACTTGCAATGTCATCCACTAGGAATGGCAGGTCCATCAAAACACAAAGAAGTTCATGGGGGAGTGACAAATAAGATTATGAAATACATTGCAGATAAACCAGTAAGGCTCTTACTGCTTAGTCATTCATCGACTTCAGGTTTTACAAGCTGCAGATACTGTACATTTGAGAGAGAAAGAAGGATAGTACATTGCATTTCTCAAGTCTGCCCACACAAAATTGCTCCAGGTGACAAGCTTGAAATATCCTGCCCCTGGTGGTAGTTTTTCTAGAAAACACTTTAAAAAACTTCATGGTGTTAATTAAAGGCCAAGACTGAACCATATTTTCCAATATTTACTCTTTCTTAATCTTTTCATCTTCTTTTTCTCCAATGAATGTATTCCTTGCTGTTGAAAAAATAAACAGATTTATGTCAGAATAAAAGGTTTTCTAGGGGACTTCCGTTTAATTCCGCTTTAAAAGCACGGTAGAAGATTGGAGAAGTATTGGAGAGATTTTTAAGGTCTGTGGTTGAAAGTGGGCAGCAAATTGTGCAAAGGCTGCAGAGGACTAGATTCTGTGGGGTTTTTCGTCTTTGTCTTCAGTTTTCTTTGAAACAATAATCTGGAAAACTAATGGTGAGTTTTTTTTTATTAATTTTGCCCTCCTCAAGGTTTGTCTTAAGCACCCTCTGCCAAGTTACTACTGTACATCTATCCAGAGTTGTCAACGTCTTCTGACAGCTTTAACAGCAATAAGTAGAACAATGCTTTAGAGCTGACGAACCCAGAAATGTGGATTAGTCATGCCTTATCTGAGTGGAAAATTACAACCTTTAGTCTGAGAATCGTACACATTCAATGCAAATTCAGAGAAGTCACGCAGGTAGGAAAACATTCTAGAACCTCTGCCAGTATTTCTGTTGGGGATGTTCTCTGGTCAGAACGTGGTTTGCTGACATTGTGAAATGCTTCTCTGAACAATAAGATTTCAGGCTCGGCTAAATGATGGGTACCAGCATGGAAAGAAAAAGTGCAAGAAGGCAGGGAAGTCAGAGGCGATGTCACTGTATCTGCCGGTGCAGCATTTCCACAAATAAAATAATCACCAAATGCTGCAGTAAAGCATGTAATCCAGAAAGCACAAGTGAATGTCCTCATTTTATAGCTCTTGTATTCGTGTTTACAACTACCGTACCTTTCTAGTAAACCTGTGAGTTCTGGAAAAAAAGACCATAAATGATCTATTTCTATTTCTTATATAATTAAATTATGGAAATTATCAATTTCTATCTATATCTAATAAAACGGGAAGTCAGTTTTGTTATTTTACATTCCATGCCATTACAGAACTTTACAGTAGAGATGCAAGATGTCACAGCACAGTTAAGCAAAGGTTTGAACTGAGATTTAAATAGTGATGTAAAATTCCACTAAATGCTCAATAAGACACTCATGAGGTGTATCCTCCATTGTACTATGAAGTTCCAGGCAGTTCTAAACCCAGGAAGTTTTAAAGTCACCTCTGTTATTAACGTGAATAAATGTTTTAGAAATGCCCATTGCATATACATTAGAACATACAATACAATACCTCCATACTTGCCACAATAGCTACAGTATTTCGGATACGTTTATTTACATCTTTTAGTAATGTCTGAAATGTCAAATACTGTACTGTACAACAGGTGTCTGTTTAAAATGTGCTGAGACCAAGTCAGGAATGAACCCAGGTGAGGTCAAGTTTCTGCAGAAACCTCCAAGGAATTAATTACTATATTGATCCTTAATTGCTAAATACAGTATTCTGAGATGCTGAAGATTTTAAGGATTTTAAGGATTATGAGGTGCAATTTAAGGAATATACCAAGATTGACCAACACCACTTTATATCATAGTGGCTACAAAATAGACAGTGGTAAGAACTTCAGTAACTAAAGTACAGTACATTAATACAAAGTACAGACCTAAATACATTAAGACATTACTAGCCATTACGTTGTTTTTAAAACTACTTTAAAAAGTACTTTATCAGTACATTTATAGTTTCTATATACTGTAGGATGTAGTAAGTTACTAAAGTGTTTAAAATGTTTAGGGCAGCATACTTTGTATTCAAGATTTTAAGCTTTTTTAATCCAATATGTTCTGTAGGAAAAAAAACACAGATTTCCTTTTTAAATGGCAAATTAACAATAAAATGAATCATGTAACTGAATGGATGGCAATTCCAACCTTAACATTTAGCCTTGTTTCAAACACTTATTTATCAGAGATGATTAAAATGTTACAGGCCTGCACTAGAGCTCACCAAATACTCCCATGGATAATTTCTACAGCAATTACCACAAAAATGAGAATACCACATCACCATAATCTGACCACAAGAAGGAACTCCTTTCAAGTGTTTAAGTACATAGGTGATGGTGCTTTCATGAACAGCAGACCCTAACATGATTATACTGGAATCAGCTGTTGGCTTTTGCAGATTGATTTACTAGAGGTTTGGTTTTCAGCATGCTGAAATAGAAAACACCTGTAATTACTTCTGTTGCAGCTAGTCATAGACAAAACTGAGTTTGCAAAAATATATATATTAATTTTTATTGGCATTTAAGTTATAATTTTGTTGATGAAATGCCAAATAAATCAAAAGCCATTGTGATGAGTTTTTAATACATAGAGATTATTTTCAATGTGCTGTGATTTCTTGATTTTCAGTGTGAATTATCATTGGTCAGATTGTATTGCACAAGGAGTATCCTCGTATTTGTTCTTTAATAGACCAGCCAGTATTGTCCCAGAACTGGAAATTTGTGCCAACACAATAACATTATAAAATATGTAGAACATGGAGGGGGTGTTGGTGCAAAACTATTAATAAATGTTGAATTTATATTAAGAGAGCATCAGGAAGACAAACAGTATAATGTTTTTGTATTGCAAACCCCATGTGCAAGCACTAGAACTATCATGTCTGTTGAAGTGTATCCTCAGTGATAACACTACAATCTCTTGAGTGCCTGAACAACCACAGCACTAGGCTTAATTCAAGGCATGTGGCCCAGGTGTCTGCAAACCATGGTCCTAGAGAGCTATGTCCTAGAGGAATCGCTTCAGGAACTAGGATTTATGTACTGTAGCAAAACGCATAATTTAAGACGTGATTTTCCATAAGAATGCACATAAATAAAGGAGGATACATTCCGGATTCACTTCCAAGAAAGGGGTTCAGTTCACAGATAAAAACAATTTTACATTTATTCATGTGTTATGTTTAAAAAATTATACTAAATGGAAGTGTTAATGTTTGTTAGTGTCATGTAATACAGTATGTGAAGGGAAGACTGTTGTTAGAGGGGGGTTGTGATCAGTGTGGAAAATGCATGAATTATGTGCCCAAAGACTCCTATGGACTGTGCAGCTGTCAATTGATTAAAACTTATCAAATGCACAACGGCCGACCCACTGCAACAGTGTGAGTGAATTGCTAGCTGTGGGAGGGCAGGGTGTCTCTAGGTTTCTGCAGGTCCCCTAAACGTTTCTGCTAGGGTCCACGGGAATCCCCAGATATCTGATGGAGGATCGCTTAGCTTATACTCCAGCTTTGCATTTCATACCTGGATGAGCACATTTTGCACAGCCAACAGAAGACATACCAGATGGGTCGGTCTGTAACATCAGACCACGCATTCTCTTTGAGTGCTTAGTTCCTGTCTCACACATTTGTTTTGGCAGAAGGAAGAAGATTAAAAGGTGCTTACATTAGCTGTGATTAATCCTACCATCTGATTTGGTAATCAGTGCTGCGTGTTCAAGCTCTTGCAGTTCTTATTGGCATGTCTGCAGAGCCTGGGATTGAGGTGGAGTAGCACTGCCATTCCAGGCAGGCAAGATTGTGCTGTAGTGGAGAAATTAAAAGTCAAACCCCAAATAATATATTATAAATAAAAAAAAAACTTTGAAGCATGAGAAAAACAATAAAAGGCAATGTTACAGACATCTCATGACAAAGGCCAAAGAATCACAGTACTTTGTCTTTTTGTCCTTTCTGCATTAGGTTCAAAGGGTATTTTCCTCCTACAATTAACTTTTTTAATAGTATAGTAGTCAAGAATGAAAAATAATTTTAAAAGAATCATCAAAGACTATTATTTCTACAAAGGAATGGTAACAATATTCCTGGTTAGAACTGAACATATTTCCCAAAGAACAGTAATAGAAGCAATTTTAAAAGCAATGTATGTTCTATTAGAGGGTACATTGTTCATAACTCCTAATATGTGCTTCACTGTCCTGTTTGTTGTCTGTCTCTGCCACACCTCCTCAGTAGTTTCGCATATTCTCCTTTGGTTTTGGTCCTTTTAAATTCATTGCCGTGTTCAAACAAGGGCAGGTGTTCTTCACAGGGTAAGCAGTTAGATTGCAACTCATTGTTGTAAAGGTGCTTAGAAGTTGAAGAATATCATGTATCATGGATACTGCAAACGAGATAACAGTTCACAGCTCTTGGAGAGGCATGTGTGTTCCCGTCAAAGAAGGCTGGAGTACTGTTAGTTCATTATTAGCAGGCACATTCCCGCATAGGCCTAGCCTAAGTGTGAGTTCTTTGTAAAAAGGGTGGTTGTAATGTAGTCAGTATATACAGTATTTGGCTGTTAATGCATCTATATTTGAATCCTGAGGAAGAATATCTATGGGTCACTATCCAAGTAAACAGCAGTGACCTGGTGACACAATTGAAATACTAAGCTTTTTTTTCATATCTCTATATTTTATTTACCATTTGTTTCAGGATGCAGTTTAAAATGTGCATACTGTCAATTGTATTTAAATCTTAGACATCAAATGGGGTATTGTTGTTCAAGAGATACTCAAATTAAAATTTCTACTATATATTTGCTTTATTACAGTATTTTCAGTGTTCCACGCCTGGTAAATGAGGATTTTCATCTTGGGAATCCCCACTCTCTGGGACTGGACGAGATGGCTAAGAATGGATCTCACAGTACAGCTATATATGGCACCGTGGCTAACTCTGGATTCGGCATACTAAACACCACACTGACCGTAAAGCCTGCTATCCAGGAGGACAGCAAGGATGACAGCAAGACGTGGTTCCACAAGATGTCACTCATCAAGAGCAGCAATTCCCCAGCAGGCTCCAACATCGTGGTACAGAATGGTGGGACCAAACGCCCTATTCATGAGTTCCACTACCTGTCTGAAGTAGACAGCTACAGCAATTTCCCTGCATTACAGAACACAGCTGAGAACCCTGAAAGGGGTCATTTGGAGAATATCACTTCATCTCCCAGAGAGTATGCAGATGCACATGAAAATAAACCTGAGGCAACAATGTTTAGAGACACAGACTATAAAAATGAAATGGAAGACTTTTTAAAGCCTTTCAGTGAAAAAAACCTGGATACCAGACGCTCTGCTCCCTCAGCATTTAACAGGGAAAGCTACTTTACTCGGCATGAGGGAGAACAAATGCCTAATAGTCACATGACAGCTCCAGCAGCCAACAGTGATTCCAAAGGTCAACACAGTTTTTTCTCTGATAGCAGAGCTGAGCAGAGCTGGGAGGAGCCTGGTGAAGACTTATATTACCAGTGGTATTCCCAGATACATGCAGAGGACGGCTCTGATGTTGACTCTTTCAGTGGTGTCTTCACAGCCAAGCGAGTGGAGTTCCTACCCTCTCCACCTCCAGAAGACCTAGACTCTCCACATGAAATGGACAGTTTTGTGGACACTTTGAGGAACATGGATTCACCTTTGGTCCTGAGACCACACAGGGGCCCAAGGCCTCCCCGGCCAATGTCTCTCCCAAGCTTCTACTCCTTACCTCCTATTGAAGAGGACCTACCTACCCATGATGCACAAGCCCCCTTCGAGTGCTCGAAGTCTATGGATTCTGTTGACTCCGTGGTGCCAGCACAAGAACCAACCAAACCAGTTCTTCCTAAAGACCTGGGATTGCGCTTGAACATGGGAAAGGAATTATTGTCACCCTTGGAAATGATGAGAAGACAGAAGGAACAAGACTCAGAAGAAAAGGCCAGGACACCTTTCACTCTGCCAATGAGAGCATCTGCTGACAGCAGCATTGTTTTCAGGAAAGGGTCTCTGGGGACTGGCTCTCCTGAGAGCGCTCCTTCACAGACACCTGAGAAGGCTTTGAGCTCCTCAGAAGACAGGCCCTACTCCAGGCTGGACAGCAGCCTGCTGTTCTCTAATTACCGCTTAACAGAGAAGACAAGTGAAAATGGCAAGGTCAATGGGCCTCTTTCTAGTAGTCTTTTCCGACAGTCTTCCTTACCAGATCTCTCTGGTTCTGCAGACAAGGACCCGGCTCAGGCAGATACCCAAAAGTCCAGCACCTTCAACCGTTTCTCCTATCTGTTATCCCCACCAAGCTCGGTCAGTGGTGGGCCAGAGACAACCAGGATCAGCCTCCCACCTACACCACTGGAGCAAAAGACCCCAACTCCTGATGCTCTCCAGTCCAAAACCAGCCTCAGTTCCAATAGTCTGGACCTTCAGAAGCCCACCTTCGTTGACATGCCTGCCAGGATCAGCCTTCCTCCCAGCCCTCTGGATTTAATGAAACAGAATATGACAAATATTCCATCAAACGTCAACCTGCCTTCTAACACCTTAGACCTTCACAAACCAGTCTTTAATGACATCCATAGGAGCTCCTCCTTTGTTACAGCTCCTGAGACGGAAAGGAACATCATCCCCAAGTACAGAGCTTTCCCAGATGCTTATGTGAGTACCCACGCTACTGTACATGTTGCTGATTGTACCAAAACTTAAAAGATTTTGAATGTTGGAAAGATTTATCACACAGTTTTATTTCTTCTGCTCAGTTTTTTACATATTTATCTTTAAGCATTTATCCAGCATGCCTTATCACATACCCTTTCTTGCTTGCAGAAATAAAATACATCTGTTCTATTATTCCATCCATCTTCGTCATGTGTATATCAGAATCTATCTGATCTGTCTGCGTGCTGTGCAATTAAATTCCAGCTTTGAGGCCTTTTTCCTGGCATAAATTATATTTACGTAAGCTTTTAAATTGTTTTGTACAGATCGTGTGCTGAAATAAAGAAGAGTTAGATGATGCTTTGTAAAACCCTGCATATGCTGGAAAAAGGCAGCAGATGAGAAAAAATACTTTTTATTGTTTGTAAGCCTCTATATATTTGTGGTGTCATAAACTACATTCTTATTCTTTCTTCGGTACATGTCCATTACGTATGTCCTATACATACATTATTAATGAAAGTGATCTACAACTGCTTAACTTCAACTGTGCTGACAGAGTTAACAAATAATACTTTATTAAAACGAATGGCACTCTACAGTGTGCAGGTACTGTAGATTAGCTACTTTAAATGTCTCAATTTTAGAAGAGCCACAATCTAATTGTAATCCACTGATTTTAAATCTTCTTGCATCCATATTACACAACCAAGAATGTTAGGCTTTGCTATTGTTGACAGCAACACCAAGTTCTACATACAGTTCAATCCTTAGATAAACACAGAATTATATTTACACATCCTTACTCGCAATAACACAGCCCTGAATGGTAGTTAAGACACTGTTTCCGATACTGATAAAAGACAGTTCTCTGGATTGTAGGAAGACTTTGTTTCTCGTGTTCAGTAGATTTTATTTCTTGTTTCTCTCTGCATAGTTCCTTTTAACTCTATCGCTTGTTGCATTCTGACCAGCTTTTTCTGTAACAGAACATCCAGCTTTCTTGCTCATTTGGCGAGTTCACAATAGTCCGTTGGAGAAAAGAAAACTTTAGGCTTAAAGGCATAATTCTGTTTGATCTGATCTGTCTACTCCACTGAACAGCACGAACAGTCAAACCACATTAATCGCTCATGAGAAAGGAAGTACAATTTGCCCTTCAGAGCCAAATTCAGATTTCAAAATTTAATCCTTTTCAATTTGTCATTGAATTTAGTGGAGAGAAGAGTTCTGAATATACTATACTGAAGTCTCACGTGTTTGCTCTTAGTGGAATTTAAGGTATATTTAAGTCAGAAAATCCAGCCCACATTAATACTAACCCCCATACTATACATTCACCATGAAAGTCCCTGCCTTGGGTGGGACTGTTCATAGCAAAACCTTCATCATAATCTTCACTGTATAGATTTCAGAAAGTCTAGGGTGTATACACTAAAAACACAGAACTTTTCAATCTAGCCACAGAACTGTGCATTTAGTACCTCTGAGCTACTGAGCTCTGACTTGGTTTTATTTCTTTTTCTTTGCATTGCATGCTTTCCTTTATTTATGTTCTTTACTTGTAGTTGCTGAAATGCTTCATCCAGTAAATATACTGTACAACTCAAATAATTTTCAAATAACTTAGTGAAATGGAATAATCACCAGCTGTACTGAAAAATATTGCAGAGAGGTGATAATTATGGGCACAAGCCCATGCAGAATCCTGACGCTTCTTCAAGGTAGTATCAGATAGCATCTTCTTCTAAATTACCTTCAGAAACCCCAAAGGCAGGCAGCTGCATGTGTTCTAGGAGCATAAAAAAATCCAAAAAATAATTGCTTGATGTGATCTGAGAATCAAGTAGAATAGAAAAGCTAGACAAAGGACTATTCCTTTATCAGTACAGTTATTCAAGAGCACCCAGCTAATAACCACAGCAGTGTGTATCAAGATGGCTACTAGTGAGATTTTGCTGCATGGCATGAGAGGTACAAAGTTAATGTGAAATGTAATCTAAGATTATTGAAAAAGTGATGAAAACAACATATGAAAAAGCTCTGCATGCTCTGCTGAATGTGTTTCAGTGTGAATCATGTCAATCAACTCTTAGTATACCAGACATACATCAGCAAGCTAAACAGGTTTTTACAGCAAGGGTTTTTTAAACTTTTCAAGCCGTTAATGTTACTTCATCTATGATAACGATCATAAATACTTTTATGAAAAATATTAAGGTTTGTCTGGTTCAATTATGAACCCTGAGGAAAGTGCAGTAAGATCATAAATCTCCCAATGTGTAAGAAATTTCCTTAATTTAGCTTGAAATTACATCCACAACTTCTCATTTTATAGCAGCATAATATTAAAACACCAAGATGGGGCATTTATGATCAATAAAGATTTATAAGGTAAAACAAATCTGCAGAATGTGGGGTGATAGCCAAATGGGTAGCATCTCTTACAATACAATATCTCCTAGCAGCCAGCCAGACAGAAGCCCAGGGGATTGCCTTTTTAGGTGACAAGCAGGATGTTGACATATGTGTCAGCTGTAGAACTGGTTAATCCATTCTTTTCAATGCTTTGACAGCCTAGTTTCAACAAGGGTAAAATCAAGGGTATGATTTTGTATTGTTTCTGTTGTTGGGTTGTGCAATATATATGCAATGGTTTAGAAAGTCTGTTTTTCCAAGTTTCCTATTAGGGAAATGTGTATTTTCCTTTAGTTATGTACCCTCATGGACCAATCAGTTGTGATTAATGAGATCCTTCTAGCGTGCTCACTCTAAGCATCTGATAGAAAATTGCATTGGCAATATTGGCAGGCAATTAGGGCTGTGACCTCTAGGGATCGATTTTGGCCTAGAGTGTCTGTATTGTGGCTTTTGAATGTTCTCCACATGTTCTCATGGGATTTTTTCCGACTTTCTCACAAAGACTTCCTGACTAGGTTTGATTAGCTGTTCTAAATTGTCCCATTCACTGAAACTCTCCCAAGAAAGCAATTGTTGGTTTTCAGCCCTGCCCTGTCACGGATGTTGGAAGGGATGAACCGTAGAATGGCAGCATAAGAGCATAAGAGACCCTATGCGTAGCGGCGAGACAGGAGTTAGCCCGGGCTCAGCTGTTCAGGAAATGCCGTATAGAAACCTATGCCCTCAGGTATCGGACGTGGGGTGACCTGGTGCTAGGCGGGTTTCAGGATATCCGAACGTCAATGCTGAGCCAGTAGCAGAGCAGAAGCAGGAAATAAATAGACTACACAACAAGACACACCAGAAAGACAATAATCACAGGGAACTAGGAACAGGAGGAAGGCAGAGCTGGTGTACTAGGTGTACTGGGCGTGACATGCCCTGTGCTGTGTGCTTCCAGTGTGTCTTAATCCCACTACAATGCTTTCTGATAATTAGAGTCCCATGTTTTAATGTACTGTAAGTTTCTCATTTTATTTGAGTGACATGTCTTTAAACCTCTTTGGTCAATTCAGTTTTCTAGTCAAAAACACTATGGCAAATATAAAACAAAACCTAAGCTGCTTCTGACTGAACATCACAGCCACTGAGTGTTTCACTTCATCAGTCTCTCAAGCACAGTTGATCACTAATACTACAGCCTGTTAAACTAATATTTCAGTCTTACAGTTTACCACTCGATATAAAACATAGTTGTACAGTTCTACAATAAGATCTTGACAATGTTGTCAATAATATTGTTGTCTTATTACTGTATGTAATAATATTATTGATAATATAATATGGATAAAAACAGTGGGTATTGAAAGTATTTACATTTTTTGTTACAAAATGAAATCATAATTTATTTAATTGGGATTTTTTTTTGCCATTGATCAACACAAAACACTCTATAATGTCAAAGTAAAAACAAATCTCTGAAGATCCTGATTAATGAATTATAAATAATAAACAGAAAATAACTGATTGCATCTGTATTCATCTGTATTCATCCCCTAAACCTCCACACCTAAGTTGGCTCTGGTGCAGCCTGTTGTCTTTAGAAGTCAAATCATTCGTTGAATGTAATCCATCTGTGTGCAGTTAAGGTGTCCTGCATGCGTTCAGGTTAAATACACCTATGTCTTGGAGATCCCAGAGTTGATTAGTACAGTTCCCAAGAAAAACTACATCATGAAGTCATTTGAAACAAATAAAAAGCACCAATCAAGGGAAGGGTATAAGAAAATTTCCAAAGCATTGATTATCCCCCAAAACACAGTAAATACAGTCCATTATGATTCCATATTGTAACAGAATAAAATGTGAAAAAGTGACTAGAGAATATCTTCGAAGCGTGGGTGTCCTGTCCTGGTATTGCTGCTAAATTCAATTTCATATCAGCTCTTTAATGCTCAGTTCTGCTTGTCATTGGCTTAGATGGACAAGTCTAACATTCAGCAATTGAAAGAGACCTGAAATATCCCTCCGATAGCCTTTCAGGACCAATATTGGGCACCCCTGCAAGAAAACAAAATGGGAAAATGGGGTTCAACAATACCCATCATACAAAAAATGTACTCGTATGCACAGTAGAACAAATGTAGAACTTGAAGATAAGACTCTGTGGCTTAGAAAGACAAGACAGGCCTGTATCTTTATTAGGGTCTATTATGATTATATGTGTGGGTGTAGCCACCACAGCCAGATAACACAGATATGAAGGGAAATTAATCATTGCACCACGCCATTATAATCAAACTGATACTTTTTTCAAAGATTTGTTCTTTCACTTAAGTACATGTGTATATGCTCATTTCTGAGAGCACACATGGCCCCTGGTTTGAAAATGTGTAATGTTTTGATTGAATGCTGCTTTGTTTAGCGATATGACCTTGTTCCGAGATCCTGATAACCATACAACGATTCATAATAACATTTGTTGTGATTTACATTAAAATATATCAACCTTGTCAGTTATGAAAACTTGCATGTATTATCATTATTATAAAGGTTATAGTCTGTGATCTACAATCATGAAGGCGCTCTGTGGATTACAGTATGTAGCCCATCACTCAAGTACTGTGTTACTGAAAGCAGGGAGGCTTGAGGAAAGGTTAATTCAGTCAAGGGTCTGTGGAATTGGTCTGCTCGGGACTGGAGGGTGCTGAGTGATGTCAGACTGTGATAAACAGTGTGCTGTATGAACTGTTATTCCACTTACTTCTCCTGCATTTGCTACTCTACACTGAGCTAGTAAAAAAGTATCTTGTGTTGAGTAGAAAAGATTGCAAGAAAATAATAAATGCACATCCTGTGAAATTCATGGTTGTTAAATCCCAATCCTGTTTTTTGCACCAGTTCAGGTCTCAGTTACTGAACAGACCCTTTACATTTGCTTAGTTTAATTTGCTAAGTTGTGCTAATTTCTTTAAAAAAAACTGTAAAGATAGGTTCCTTGAAATCATAGGTCTTTTTATGCTTATTAAGCAGATTTGTGCTTTGGATTCACCAAACGATAAATAAGACAGATCATCTGAAGTGAAAAATGCAGCTTCATGGCTCACCATTGCTGGATGACAATTGCAGCTGCTTGTTTGACTGTCTTGAAAGAGAAAAAGAGAGGGACGGTACCACCTACTGGTCTGGGATCAATGTGTACTACTGTACTGTTGCATTTCACAAGGCAATCCAAATTCATTTGTGTATCTGAACTGCTTATCCAAATGTCATTCAGCTTGCTAAATTAAATAAACCCTGATTAGTTGTATAACTTTGAAAGCTGTTAAATACTGTAGCCATCGCTGACAAAAAACTACTCAGCTGTGACAGGCTTCTTTGTTATTAAGGTCTGCCTAACATAAGATCACGGAAATCATTCTGTTCTTTAGAGCTTATCTCAGCTGCCTGACCTTTGCATTAAAGAAGAAAACCCTGACACAAAAGGTTAAGGAATTTGACCTTTTCTATTATGCAAAGATTATGAAGATCAGTGGAGTTTAAATCAAAATCTCATCCAATCCACCAGATTCAACTTCCATTTAGTGGGTGCTTTCTGTTCTCAGGTGATTTTTTTTTTGTCTGCTGAACAGAAATCAAGATTTGAGATTGAAATTTAACTCTCTCAGGATCCTTCATGTGTTTATTTTTTTTAAAACATAAATGCCTATTAAATCGTTTTATTGCAGAAATTGTGTAGCATAGCTGTTCAAGGAATTACAGCACACTCTTACTTACTAATCTAATTATTATTATCTGGATATCATAGTAGAAAGATATTTTTTTCAAAATATTAGAAATTATGCACAATCTCGTAATGGCCTTTTAAATTATGTATTTGCATACTTACCACATTTTCCTAAAAATATTAAGACATAAAAATAATGAAATATAAAAAATTATATGGCCTATAAATTAAAAGACCCACAATACAAAAACATACTGCTAGATTAATTGGCTTCTGGGAGAATTGGCCCTGGTGTGAGTGTGTGTCTGTCCTTATTTGTGTGGTCTGCAGTGAACTGGTGTCCCATCCAGAGCCTACCCTGCCTTGCAGCCGTCGCTTCCTAGATTAGGCTCCCTGCATTGGAAGAAGTGGTTAGAAAATACATGGCTGTATAAATTAACAGGGCTGTCTGTGAATAGATTAGGGAACTAGCACTTGTTTATGAAGTAAATGATATTGTATGTAAACAGTTTTTTTTTTGTTTTATAGAATTGTTATTTTGGAAAAGCCTAATAACCACAATAATGCAGACTTTCAAAACTGTTAATATTAAAAACACCAGAGTTTTGCTTTGGAGATGCCGAAGCTGGGATAATATAAAGGAAATGCAACCAGACAGCAAAGTCATTGTCTTGGTGTTTTTTATGACTACACCCTAGTTGACCTATGTCAACAGTGACACTGCATACACAGGGTGGGTCCTTGAAAGACTCTTTTCAGGGTCAAACTGCACATTCCTGGCATAACTCTTCTGTGACAGCTACTGCATACTGTGGAAACGAGTTGTGACACTCCTGAGTCCTGATTGAAAGCCTCTCTCTGTGTTTTCAGCTCACCAAAGAAAAGGAACATGGCAAGCTTAACCCAAGGCCAGGCAAGGTAATACCTAAGTCTGTGAGACCTAATTTGAAAAACAAAATGTGTTTTTTTCTCTTTTTATGCCTGCCGCTTCCCCAATATGGAATTGCTTAGATCACACAATGTACACCATCAGGCCAAACCTCTTCTTTTTTAAATAATCAGGGACTCCGAGAATTACATTTCATACTGAATAGTGCATAAATATGTTTTAAAAAATGATTATGCATAGAAGCATTAACTACATCATGCAAAGTTAAGAGGATAAAGTATCACTGATAAAGTTCAGTGATAATTGCCTTGCTCTTGGGTTTGGAGGTGTCAAACCCCTTTAGCATCGCTACCCTTTGGGTTTTACAGGGCTTAACGTAAGCATTGGTCCCATTTGAAAGACACAATATGATTGCTTAAGTGAAATTAATTAAGTGTAATTTAGTGCAGTATTCCGTTACTCCATGCTGCCTTCTCAGTAGTGCAGGAGAATGTTGTCCACTTTATAAATTCTGCAGCTGATTGTCCCACAAATCTCAGAGGTGTCTCATGTTGTGGTTTTTCTGATGTTTCTTGGACGCTGCAGTTATTCATTTATGATCAGCCGGGGTTCTGTGGGGGGAAGATCGAGGTCCACAGTGACGTCATTGACGCAACCCCATGGGATTTACCAGAAACCATCTTCATCCGCGTGCTGAGAGGAGGGTGAGTTTGTTCTCTTTCCTACATAGAGCAACTGGCAAGAAATAGAGACAAAACCCCTTCATCTTGATCACACACAGTACTGTACAAAGCACCTCTACAGAGGCTTTGAGTGAATTAAAACAAGTAATCCAGTTACTGTACCTGTGAGCAAAGGACAGTTTGTCCCTGGTACATTGATGAAGTACATTGGATAACATCATTCAGAATGTGTTTACTGTATAATTGTGGAACACAGACACTTGAGAAATGAAATCTCACGCTTTTTTCCCCAAATGAGAACTTCATGTAAGCTCCATGCACTGAGCTTTGAAACTAGAAAAGATTAGATGATTAACAGTGGAAAAGAATGTGTCAAAATATTTGAGATGGGATCACCAGCTGTTTTGTTCGAGTTCATTTAAAATTCATTTTCCATCATTTATTAATAGTTTTGGAGATAATAATGGAAAGCTTTAATATATATATTGCACAGTATGAATAATAAATGAATGGCTTTTGTGTGTAAACAAAACATTACCTATAAAGTATTATACTGACTTACTACAATGTCATTGGTCGTTAGGCAGCCTATCAAGGAGTGCCAAACTGCTTTGAGGCCTATATATGTACAGTATACATACTGTACAGTATACATGTGCGTGTCTACATATTTTTAAAAGAATACTTTGTATTTTTTCTGTAGAAACTGCAAAGAAAAATAAAAAAATAGAATATGTTGATGAAGTATTCATTCCCTTTGCAGTGGCAAAACCTAAATTTCTTCAGCTGCCCAAAATTATTTTGACAAGTCGTTCAATCAGTTGAATTAGTTCTGTGTGCCATAATAGGGGTTTAGTTTAGTTTAAAATTAATATACCTGCTGCTGTAAGGTTCCTCAGTCAGGGAGTGAATTTGAACTAGATTCAACCATGAAGACCAAGATAAAGTTGAAGGAAGGCACAGATCAGAAGAAGGATAGAAAACACTTCAAAGTCCCTTAATATCCCTTTGATGCAAAGCTGAAGTAGAAGATATATTATAGCACTGCCTAGAGCATGCTGTCCCTCCAAACTGAGCCAAAGGAGGAAATGTGTTAGGGATGCAGCTGCGAGATCATCGGTGACTTTGAAAGGGTAATAGAATTCAGTGGCTGAGACAGGAGAAAATGTCCATGAGTCAAGTATAACATACATTATGAATGGGAAGAGGATGGTATGGTGGTGCAGTGCCCTGCAGCACTGGGGGCCTGGGTTCAAATCCAATCCTAGGGTGCTCTCTGCATGGGTTGCGTCCGGTTGCTCTAGTTTTTTTCCCCCACAGTCCAAAAACATACTGGTAGGTTGATTGGCTCCTGGGAAAAGTGGCACTGGTGTGTATGTGTGTCTGAGTCTGTGTGTGCCCTGCAATGGACTGGCATCCCATCCAGGATGTACCTTGCCTTGCACCCACTGCTTGCTGGGACAGGCTCCAGCTCCCTCATGAACCTGAACTGGAAGATGCTGTTAAAAAGGAATGGATGGAGGAATGGGACGAAAGAAGACTATTAAAGAATAGTCTCAAATTCCACATGGTCTTCGCAACACAGCAATTATGTGATTGCCACCGCAGACGTGGCAAACGATTTAGTTATCACAAAATTCTAAATTTGAAATGATGTTTTCAACAGAATGAAGATGCATTGTACAAGTGTACAACCATCAGAAGTAAATTATGATTAATAATAATACAATCTTCATAAACTCAGAGGGGAATGAATACTTTTCACTGAATTGGGAAATCAGATGAGACTAATTTTAATGTTTAAAAGGAGTAGATTGCTTGAAAGACTGAAAATAAAGAACCCTTAATATGGCATAGTTAATGATACATTTGATGGTTCACGGATAAATTATAAGGTTAAGATGGGTTTTGCATGTCTTGTAGTGACATGTATTAACAGTAAATATTATGTCATAAATGTCACCAGAGATGCCAAATTTTAAGAATGATTCTTTCCACCTTTGTACAATACTAAGGGTCTGATCTGAGATCAGAATGTATTCATCAGATTTTTCTAACGTTTAACTTTAGTATCAATTGGTTACTAAATAACCCCTGCAACACAACCAGTTTCAGTGTCTAATGTGTGCCTTGCCATCCAGGTGGGTACTGTATGAAAAACCCAACTTCAAGGGGGAGAAGATCCCTCTGGATGAGGGCGACACTGAGGTGACCTGTCCCTTTGGGCTGCCAGAAGGACAGGAAGGAGAGCCACAGCTGAGCAGGAAGTTTGTCATCGGCTCCCTGCGCAGAGCTGTCAGGGTGAGGCTTTCACTCCAAGCGTTTGTCCGGGAAATGATGCAATAGACCTTTATAAATTTACAATATAAACCATGTCTATTAAAATAATCAGATGTTATACGCATCTTAATTTGTGCATATTTTGGTAACACTGTTTATTACGAAATTTGCCTATTTACCCAGATCAGTCAGTTGAGAATAAAACCTCACTTACAGCAATGACCTGTAGAATTATACGACAGGAAATTTACTGCTGTTTGTAGTAAGCAGCTCTATTTATTATTGTTTTCCTTTGCTGCAGTGTAGCAATGTTAATGAAGTTTCTTCCTCAAGAATGTAACTGCAGCATTGCTTACTTAAGTGGGATTTGAAAATATCACCTTCATGTTAAGACTCTAGAGGCCTTACTACTAATTACTTTGCCAAAATGTCTTATTATCCTGAATGTGGCAAATTGTTAAGACAAAATGCTGAAATTGTTTCAGTCAAGTAACACATACTGTATGTAAAGTTTAACTGAATACACCATACACATACAGCAGACACCAAACATAAATAAAATGGCACTCAAGGGCTATCAGAAGAATGCACGGCATGACTGTATGTTTTTGTCACAGGCTGCGTCATTACAATTACAGATTCCATTATAATTGTTATTACATGTAACAAGGGTTTCCTTCTGGAATTTCAGGATTACAGTGTTCCTGAAATCTGCCTGTTCCCAGAGGAGAATGCAGAAGGGAAGAAAGTGATATTTCGAGACACCTCGGAGGATGCCCGGATTTTTGGGTTCCCGATAAAAGCCAACTCCCTTATTGTGAATGCTGGGCTGTAAGTATGCAGGGAATCCACTTTCACAAATTCAAATGCTGCGTCACGCATAGTGCTTGGTGGAACTTACAACATCTTTTCATCTCAAAAGCTGTCTTGCATTAATTCACTCTTATGAAACTGATAAAAAAAAAATATAGTGGAGTAATAATAATAACACATGCCTAAATGATAAGAGACTCTTTTGGACAATCAATAAGAGTGTAAAGATAAGGATAACTGTGATGAAAGTAAATTAAACTAGAAGAAACTGCCGTTCAGTATAGATACCTTTGTATACATTACCAGACAGCAGATATTGTTTTTCTCGTCAAATCAGCTTTCAAGTGTTTAAATTATTCCATGCTGATTCCTGCATATAACCCTAAGCCATGTTTCAGAAAATGTCTCAATGGACAGCTTTCTGAAATGTGTTAATTCTTCCTCATGAACAATGGAGTTGTCATGGTGAAAGCCATTTGAATCCATGTGTGGCAGGTTGGGGCACAGCTGATCAATCTTGCCATTTTTGTACTGTAGATTTATGCTGCTAAGTTGCATGTCAAAATGTCCTGGGCACCCATTAGATTGTGTCTTAATCCCAGGCTGTAGGTTTTTTACCGTGATACTCTGTCATTTATTACAGCATGTCCTCTGTCCTGTTCCATAGGTGGTTGGTGTTTTCCAAACCATTCTTTGAAGGGGTCCCACGAGTACTGGAAGTGGGAGGGTTCCCTAACCAGGAGGCTTGGGGTGCTACTGAACCATATGTGGGCTCCCTTCACCCACTTAAAATAGTAGGTCATCATCACACACTTAAGGAGAGCCACATTATTTCCATGCCTTGCTCCCAGTTTCCTAGTTTTTGGCAGCTGGTGTACACTTAATTGCATTGTTTCAGCAGTTAAGAAAATAATTATCTTTCTACTGTTTCTCATGATCATTTATGGCTAGGACAGGCTGAAATCACTTAAGAGGAGCTCTATTTCCAAAAAAACAATATTAACGAATTCTATTAATCAATTGAGCAAAAAGAACCCAACAATATTAGAGAGACAAACAGAATGGGTATGGAATTAAGTTTAATGTTGATGTGGGTGTGAGAGTAAATTATTAAACGTAGCCTACACAGAGCTATATAGTTTTTATTTGCACTGATGTATTTGGTTACATGTTCATCCCAGTATGCATTCTTTGAAAGCATAACTGTCATGGTTTTTAATGTGATTGCAGGCTGAGCCAAAGGTGGAGAAACCTAATGAACCAAAGGTAAGACCTCCCAGCATTGCTGTTCTTAACAGCATTCCACAGCAAGGGATATAAATCATTAGCAAAATACCAAACATACTGATATTTTAAATCTTTTTTTATTAATTTGCTTTTTTCACTCTTTTAGATACATTAAGGCACAATGTTCAGTTTACATGTCACTGTGCTGAAGAGGTAGTATAGTATGGGCTACCTTCTTCATTCCATTCTTTAGCTACTTAAACCTTTTAATATCTTTCTGCATACTGTATGCACCCAATGAGTCTCTCAAGGCATTCTTTAGGGATCTAGTTCTAGCAGCACAAATGGAAAGCAAGAAATGCACTTGGAAAGCAAGTGTAAAATGTAAGGAAAGGTGAGGGAGAAATGTAGTGCTGAAAAAGCATTAACACACTATGCTTTAAGAAGCATCATACTTTATTGCGATTAGCTGTGTACTGTAGAATGCCTTATTGGTCATTCTGAACTTTACTTCCCCCAACTAAAGTTTTCTAAATATTTCCAAAACCACTTTGTAGATATAAATGTTGGTGCCCTACACTTTAAAGCAGAGTGATTTATGATAAAAAAGTGTGAAACTGTTAAATTACTAATAAAGAATCCTTTCATTTTACTGAACACTTACTGAAAAGTAGCACTTAAAAGATTCTAATGCATTAGTGTCTGTGGGGCCATAGACATTGCAGGTGTACTTTTTGTACCCCTTTGGCGATCTTCCAACTGAAAAATTGATAACCTGTGCTTAATAGCACATATGTGTAGATATTATGTATTTCAGCTGCTTTATGTTGCACTTTTGAATGTTTTACAGTATCTTGCCCCTAACCTGTGATCTATTAGCATTTCTCAGAAGTAACACACTTGATTTTAGTTTATTGTAAAATAAATAGGCTTGCATATTCATAATCATTTCAAAACCGTAATCTTCCAGAAAATGTTATGTAAAATAAAGCATGTAAAAGTCATTTTGAATGAACTGTAATTTTCTAAACTGTTTTGCTACAGTAGCAGTGCTGCATTGGAGCCTCCAGCTCTTTAACTGCTCCCTCTGTTTCAGATAATAATCTATGAGAAATCGTACTTCACGGGGAAGAGTCGGGAGATTTACACGAACACCAGGGATTTCATGACCAGGGTGGACAAACAGAATGTCTTCATGTACAGCGCTGGCTCCATCAAAGTCCTGGGTGGAATGTGAGAGACAGTTAATTATTTTAAAGATTAAGCCTGTTTTTAAAAATGTTCTACTTTACTTTGACTATTGTAACAGTCAAAGATGTTCAATTTAAAGTCATGTCAAATATAATGTATTTTCTGCATGCTGCAAAGGGAAACTGCTTTGTGTGCTTCCATCAGGACTTTCAAGTAACGGCTGGACGAGATCCTTTAATCAATTAACTTCCGTGAATGATGTAAGAAATCTTAAACAGATTGCCCCCTGGGGTAGAGGTTTAAATGCCACTGGGGTTCATTTAGTCCTTTGATCAATTCATTATCTGTGTATCTATAACTTGATCCTCTGCAGTGACTGTGTGGTATCAGTATAGCATAGTGGTTGAGCAGTTAACTCTGGACTGGTGATTGGAATGTTGTGGGAATAAATCCCAGGTGAGGCACTCTTGTTTCCCCCGTGATCAAGTTACTTCGCTTCAGATTGCTTCAGTAGGTTGCCCAGCTTTATAAATTGGATACCAACATGTTAAAGGTTTTGTTGGATAAAAGTGTCAGCCAAATCAATAGTAATAGTAACATGTCCCGATTCTTTCTCTCCTCAGCTGGGTGGCTTATGAGAAGGAGGGATTTCGGGGGCACCAATACCTGCTGGAGGAAGGGGATTATCATGACTGGAGGGTGTGGGGGGGCAGCAACTCTGAGCTACGATCCCTGCACCTCATCAGAGCAGTGAGTCCATTCATTAGGCTGAATTAAAAATACACAGAAATTGAGATTAGCAATAAGCATATGACATGCTTTGTAACACTTGTATTGGAAACTGTACCTCACAGTCTCACAAATCAGTCTCACAAAACCATTTGCAATATACCACATGAATTTAGTAGTTCACTAATTCTTTGGTCCGAAGGTTGTTATGATCACTGAGTACAAAAATAAAGGTTAGAAACCTGCACCCTATGATATCTCAAAAGCTAAGCAAGGCAACAGTGTAGTGGTGTTAATGGAACAGTAGGTGGCACTTTTTTCTCTGAACAGACAGGTCCAACGCCTCTAGGATAACAATGAAAACACTGTGAGTCAGTGTGCAGAAAGTGTTGAAATGATCTCCTCTTAATACTTTGGGCATTTAAAGATTCCATAGCATGTGTGGTTAAAGCATTTTCATAGGCAAAATCAAAACCAGATATCAAAACCTCACTAAGACTCCTCTACTGGTTACTGTTAAAAGTCATGGCATTCATAAACCACTAATTTAGCAGACACAGCTGTACATGGGGTTGAAATGAGCTGCACATCCAAAAGGGAAGAGGGACAGGAAACACACTTATCAATAAAAGCTGTGGTTCTAAAACTGGCCCATAACTTTATTACCCATCAACTTGTTCCAGGATTTCTCAGATCCCATGATGATAATGTTTGAGGAAAGTGAGAATGAGGAAGATCCCAAGACTTTTGAAGTGACAGAGGCTATCCCAGATGTGGAGCTCTTCGGATACCAAACCATAACTCAGTCCATTCATGTTCTGAGTGGAGTGTAAGTGCTGCTGTGACAGAGTGAGCCGATTGCAGAGTTTGAGCACTTTGCTTTTGAACTGATAAAACTAAAAATAAACTGGAAGAAATGAACTTGTCAAAACCTGACCATCTGAATGAGGAGAAACTTACCTCATTGATGATCAAAAGGTCCCTCATTAGTTTTGGGATATGAGGGACAACATGTCTTAGAAAACCAGAGAAATAAAAGCACTATATACTGTACACTGACTGTGCCCTAATTTCCCTAGGTGGATAGCCTACTCCCATGTGGACTTCTCTGGAGATCAGTACATACTGGAGAAAGGGTTCTACAACAGCTGTCAGGACTGGGGAGCCACTGATTGCAAGATCTGCTCAGTCCAGCCTGTCCTGCTGGTAAGAAGAGATGTTATTGCTAAGGGGAGGGCCTTGCCGCTTCTAAGTAAGGGTTTCTTAAATCTGGGGTGTGACCTGATGTTGTGTGGTCACAGCTTCTCAAGGGAGCTCATGCAGAACAGCCTTACCTGTAGTCACCAGGTTTGACAGAGTATTTGCCCAAAGACAACTTCAAAGCAGATGCAGTCTATGCAGGAGTGTACTTACAGTATGTACTTCATACCCTTCACTATCCAGGCTCAGTATTTGCCCTCCTGAATGCAGGCTTGAAACTTCAAATGTTGCACATTAGAACAATTGCCTTCATTTCTCCTAAAATGCAGTGGCACTCCTTGTAATGGCATATAATATTTTATTACAATTTCAGAGATCGTACAGCAGTAGCACAGAATCCTTATGAATTATTAAGGAAACATACAAATACACATCTTTTCCAATGTGCTTGAAAGTGCACTGTGATACAGTATATACAAGAGGAAAAACCAAACTCCAACCCCTACGTTTCCTAGGACACATGTAGGACAGTCCCTTAAGTTTTCTTTTTGTACATGAATAATATTATTAAATTACACATCTTATCATTAGAACAAGCATGTATCATTGACAAATAAACTTACACAAAACTGTGCATCATTAATACTGTAAAGTTTTAACAATACTGCTCAAGGAAGTAAACAGTATCTGTTTCAAATACCCAAGATACTATTTCCCTTGGGCAAACTGTAAGCAAAATGATTTCTTTTTTATTCATTGTGTATTTTTACCATGCTGTGCCCACAGGGCAAGCAAGTACAGTTAACAGCATTAATAGGTTTAATAATTCAATGAATATCTTTGAGTTACCTGATGCTAATGAGTGGGCTAACAGAAATTGTTACAAAAAAGAAAATTAGAGATATGTCTGAGATACATACTGTATATCACTTAAATGCAAAAGATTAATATGTGGAATAGTTTTGATATTTTACCTTGATTCTTAGAGAAAAAAAATTGTTTCCCAAATAATAAGTTCTTTTTCAAACCCATTGTGAAAAAACACTTTTATTTAGCTTTAGATAGTTTTGTAAAAATGATTCTCATCTATTTTACTCTGGATGGCTATGCCTAAGTTAACAAGTACAAAAAATAAGGTTTTGGAGCCAAAGAGCTCTATCATGGATCTGGCAGCCAGGTCTTGAGGCTTTCAAACCTTGTACTCTACAGTATTTTACAGTGATGTAAATTGCCAAATAATTTGCTTGAATGTCCTGATGGGAAAATAAAACATAAGTAGGTTTTTTCAATTTCTGTGACATGAATTTGAGGTTATTACTGGTTGCAAGGCAACTCAAGCAGTGTAAATATGTACACAATGAGGCATTACTTTTAATGTGCATCAATATTTTACGGCAGATACTCTTTAGATGTCTGTATTGAAAATTTAACTATCTGTTGCACTTCACAATATCCTTTAAATGCTGTTATACAGTATATCCAAATGTGTGGTGTGCTATTTTGTGTCACTTTAACCAAGTATAGGAGACATAAGTCAAAACTGCCACAAAATCCTTTTGTTTCGGTGCAATCAACTCAGTTTCCAATGTTCAGAAAAGGGAAGGTCAAAGAGGCTTTGAGCTTTAGTAGGGGCACTTTCAGAGTGGCAGGTACTGCAGTGCCAAGCACTGTAGTGCTAGGTCTGTGCTACAAGATCTTATTCCTTGCTTTGAATATTCAGCCTAGACATAGAGAAATGAAGTTCAAGATTAAAGTTAACTTAAGAGTTGCAGTGACCTCCATTAATACAATGATATCATAATGTTAACATTAACAAAATGTTTTTATCAAGAACTTCAATATAACCCTTTATCGCTTATTAATTTTCATGCCTCATGGAAAGTTTATTTGGATCTCACAATAGCACCAGTGATATCAGCATCATTCCCAGATACATGGAAGACTGTTGATCACACACACAGTCTTTCAAGGCCCTAACTATGCCCATCAGATTCTTTTCTAGATTCTTACTCACTTTCTCATTTCCAGCGTGACATTTTTGTCACTACTAGCACTGGTATTTTTTCTGCAGCTTCTGCCACAAGGCTATTATTTCTACTACTAAAGGATATTTAGTGTTGAGACTGCTGTTGTTTTTTCTTATTTTGTGCTGTAAGGTTTACCTTTGAAAGATGGATTTTGTATTTGCTTTTCAGGCACCAAGAGAAAGTCAAGACTTCAAGAATGAGGTAAAATCAGATTTGCCAGCCACTGACTATTCCTGCTTAGAAAGACAGTAGACGATTTTGTTTAACAGTGTATCTTAAGATAGATTTATAATATCGTAATAACACTAGACATTAAAGAATATATGACAGTCACTGTCTCAGATAAGATGAGCAAATAACCCATTTTACAGATAAATATTTAACTACTGTTGTGTTGCTCAACGGTGATTCTATATATGTTCGAAATTTGATTTGTGGGGTTCTGATGTCCTCATCTTCATGACCAGTTCCTCCAGTCATGTGGTTTCAGGCCACATTTGTGTGACCGATTGCCTGTGCTGTGACTACATTAATGTTAGGGCTAACCCATACTTACTGCAGGCCAAAAAACTGTCAAGTCCAACAACAAGAAATAGAATGTATAAAATAAAGTCACATAACAGTAGAATGCAGAGAGGAGAAGACTTTTTTAAATATCTAAAATTTGTTCCCAATGTTTCAGTCGATCTAGTAATCTCAGATTTTGTTTTGCTAAGTGGAATCTCCCTGTCTCCTGTATAGATCCTCTTGTTCTCAGAGCCTGAGTTTCGGGGCAGTAGCCAGTCTTATGATGAAGATATCGAAGTTCTGCCTGACTCCTTTCAACCTCAGTCCTGCAGGGTGTTGGGTGGGAGGTAAGAGAAAGGATCTGTGGAAAATCCTGAGTGGGCCAGTTTAATTCGAAAGGAATTGACAGTTTTTCCATTAGTGGTAACCTTGTCATGTAAATTAGAAACCTAAATGTGTTTCATACATCTAGTCTCTTCAGATAGGAAACAAATTAAGTTTATGTTGCAGTGACAAGGTATATTTTTCATTTTAAAACCTTAATAATTTCTAAATTACATAGTACTATTTTGTGCATTGATGTGATTTAAATATGGTTAAAATACAGCTTTAAACAGATAAAATTGTATTACAAACCCGTCATATACAGTACGTGTATATGTATCTAAACTCGATAGTAAGTACCACCAGTATAGCATTCTCCAGTGCAGTACACTATTGTAGTAACATCATTCTGATGGTCCCACCTGCTGTTGTATGGGAATATCCTACAGTTCAGCTCATATTTGTCCTGGCGGTGTTTCAGGTCTGACATTTGTAACCTCTTTGCAGCTGGGTGGTGTATGAGGGAAGAGAGTTCTCAGGAAACCTGTATGTCCTGCCAGAGGGTGAATACCCAGACTTTGCCAGTATGGGCTGTCCCCCCAGCACCGTCATTCGCTCCATCAAAACTGTGCCCATTGTAAGTATCCCATAGGCTTCTCCCACACTTTGTTTTTGCTTTTCCTTTCCCCCTCAACATTTAGTTTCTCTAATTAGATTTCATTAGTGTGACTACCAACAATACTGTAATTGATTGTATTATATGTCCCCCTAGGACAAGGCCTACAAGCGTATCTATTTGGCAGGCCCAAAACGTGAAACAAAAATCTTTGAAGACAGAAAAATATTTTGCCTGCTGTTTTTTTCTGTATATTTTGTGTGCTGAGTGGATATATTAAGTGATATAATAAATGTGATCGTTTACACTTAATGCCAAGGGGGTTCAATTTAAGACTTGAACCAGGCTACTGCTATGTTCTGCTGCAGAGATATAACAAAATGTTTAAGGGGAGAAAATCCTGCTATCTTCAGATGAAAATAAAAACACTTTTTTTTCTTGATGAAACCATCTTAAAGCACTTCACAAAGTGTCATTTTGAAACAGGACATGTACAAATGCATTAAACAGGTCCCTATTCAGTGTCTTTCCTGGTTTTTAAGATGATGAATACAGAAATAGAACAGCATTGAACAGTGATACCTATCTCTGGGACTGGCCAGGCCTGACAGTCTTTTCTCTCTCTCTGGTCAGATGTTCACAGAGCCCTCCATCTCACTGTTCAGCCTGGAGTGTTTCGAGGGCAAAGAGATTAGCCTGACCTCAGAGGTGTTGAGTCTTCTGGCAGAAGGATTCAACAACCATGTCCTGTCTGTACGAGTCAACTCTGGCATGTGCGTACCGATGCCCAGCGTTGAGTTTTGAAATTAACAGCCTTTTCTTTCTTTTTCTCCTATTGTCTGTAATATCCAATGATTTCCTTTGATTGCTTGATTCCATTTGAAAGCTTAATCTTTACTATAATCATATCTACCTCTGGAATTCTTCATAGGCTTTATCTTTCTACCTAATAGAGTTTGTCATGTTCTTATTTGTTCAAATCTAAGTGTCTTTACACAGCTGTACCTTAAGCAGAGTTGCAGGGAGTGCAGGCCAACTGAGTAAAATGGCCGACTGAGCACACCTAAAAAGGCAAACATGTCTCAGATTAAGTATTTGGATTGTTAATGTTGTTAGGGTGTAATTAGGAGGTATTAACCCACCACTAGTCATGTCACCAAAACTTATAATACACTAACTGCTCGGGTGTGGTGTGTTATATGTTTGTATTATTATCATGTTTAATGATTAAATAATGATTGTGCTGGAGGAAGTGCAGTCCTTCAGATGAGACATTAAACAGAGGTCCTGACTACCTGGCCATAAAATATCCCATATTTGCACTGTTCATAAGAGTAGGGGTGTTACAGTAACTGTGGTTAACTGGGCTTGCACGATCTGACCTCCCTAAATTTCCCCTTTATGCAGCTGGTGAACTAATTTCTCACTTCTCTACCTGATTTGCTATAGTGAGGCTTCTGGTACTGTACATCATGACTGCCATTTACTTTACTGCATTTTTTTAAATTTGTTTGCTAGTAGCTAATCATTCCCAGAACGCAGTGAATAAATTTCTTGTAAGAGCCCACATTGAAAGATTTACAATAACTGGATTACATCTCCTTCAATTCCAAGTTATTTTGGTGTTCTATATTTCTGGACTGAAGACTGCCTCGAAGGTTTTGTCAGAACTTTCCTGTGTGCTGAGACACTGATTTTCACTTTTCTCCACGTCAGATGGGTTATATGTGAGCACAGCAACTACAGGGGGCGTCAGATCCTGGTGGAAACCATTGAGATAACCAACTGGCATAAGTTCAGTGAGCTCTCCAAAATAGGGTCACTATACCCTGTTCCACAGGTTAGTGCTCAGCTATTGTCAACACCGAGACATTAGAACTTGAAACATCTACTGTGAAAAACTGCGCCTGTTTGTTGGTCTATATTTTGCATCATACAGAATATTCATTAATTAATTTAATAATCATTCAATATTCACAATTCGTTAAACTTGTGTGATGTTCCTAGACCATAGTGCTGTTCCCATATTCTAAAAGACATATTATCAATGGATCCCAAAAGATTTTGAACCTCTGGTCTCACTCATTGACTTAATACAGTGTAAATACCCTTCTGTTTAATGAAATAAGAAAGAGCAATTAAGAAATTAACAGTACTCTCTCCACAACAATATCCATTCTCATGTATAAAGTAGTGTCACAGACCAAATAGATAATTAGCCAAGAAAAGCAACCAGGAAAACAAAAGAATTTTCTTATGAGCAAGTTTAAAGACATAACTACTGTACTGAATACATTAACATTCAAGTGCTTGAATGATTAAATATTTCATATTTTGCTTCTCATGCCTGACATTCCATTCAGCATATACATGCTGAACAGAACTACAAACCTTCAACAACAAGGAAAAAGATGTAATATTTTTAATGCTATACAAATGAATATGATTATGTTGTATATTTGTATTGTATATATTTTAATTCTGTGAATAAATAGATATGTATGAAATGTACAATTGTATGAAAATATAAAAATAATCACTGAATTTCAGCATAGAGCTCAGTTTACCATCAGTGGAAAGCCTTTATTGGAAAATGTGAGGTCCCTCATTCTGTTTTTCTGATGTGACTGATGTTGATTGCTTCTGGAATGCACTCATACAGCTGCATGTGTGCCCATAGTCACTTGTTTGTCTCTCTTTGGGCTGGAAATTACAGAAACGTTACTTCTTCCACATCAAGAACAAGGAGCGAGGCCACTACATGTCCATCCAGGGAGATGTGGCAGAAATGAAGTCAGGCCGGGTGGTTGTCACAGAGCACATTGAGGGCCTGAGCCATGTCTGGTATTATGAGGATGGGCTTATCAAGAACAAGGTACCGTGACACCCCACTGAGTGTGCTTTAACGGGATATTTAAAATAGGAGGGTCCAGGACAGCAGACACAGCCGTAAAGTAAAAAACAAAAAAGGTGCCCTTTGTTTATAATGAGGGAAACCAAAAGCACACCCCAAAAAACCAAACAACGTCCTTGCTTCATTATTTATTTTCTGACTGACTTTTTCAGTCCCTAACAGGACAGCTAAGCTTGCTGTCTTGCCTCCTCCCCAGATGTCTCACAAAATTCAGTCTCTCCCTCTGACTCTTCACAAAACCCAGCCTCTCTGAGACTTTCAAACGCTCTCCAAAAATCTCAAACTCAACTCACAAGTTCCGCAGTCCCATGGTCAGCCGGTTTCCTTTAACCGAATGGAGCATACACAGGACCTGCCTCCCGACCTGCAGGTAGCAGACATCACTAACTGAGCCCGAAAGCCTCTGCTTTTTATAGTGTCACTTGGCCAATTGTCTTCCAGCAAAGGTCAGGTAACTGAGGGCAGCTACTGTAAGCTCATTCCCCACAGTTTTCTGAGGAATGCAGTTCAGACAAAGCCTCCATCTGTCTGAACTTGCTGCCCTCTCACAGTACCCATTTGGGAATTCAAGAGTCAGTCATTTCCCAGCCAGGTACAGTAGCCGTGCAGAATAGACAGTGCTGCCAGCGTTGGGCAGGGATATTTGGGCCAGGACTTTCTTCAGCCCTCAGTAGCAGAGCAATTCCTGCAGCGTCTAGGGTGCCTGGAGGCATGAAGGGGATGACAGTTTAAGATGCTCAACTCTTCCACTTGGTGCTACCTCTTCTGTCAGTCAGTGTCTGGTTTGCAGTGCAATAACAGACAAATGACTCAGTCAGTGGGCAGGTCATATCTGCTCCTCCTCAGATATAGCATGCTCTGATAGTCCATCAGAGTTTTCTGCTGGGAGCTGAAACATAAAAAGGATCTGAAGTTCCACATTACATGGGCATGAAACGAAAAAAGAAAAAGAAGGAAGTTCACGTTTAGCATGACTGAATCATATTTGCTTGATGGTTGAAACTGCTTGATCATACAAGTTAATTCATCACACAGTTAAAACACTGGTTGTACCAAATCCTTGCAGTGGCATGGACTGTATGTTCTGAGTTTGAGTAACATGTACAACAAGATGTCAGCATATAATATACAAATAACTGCTAATGAAGTGCTAATGTTTTGTACTGGTAGTAAAATCTCAGATAACATAGCTTTATATTTGTTTTTAGCAATCCAAAACTGCTCCTTAGCCTCTAAAAATTTGTAACAAACTTCAACCTGAGTATTGGCACTACCAATATGGTCTACATACTTTAATGTGATAAGTACATATCTGTTTTATGTTTTAAATAACATATATTATTATAACATGCACATATTTGATGAATAATAAGTAATGTTTATGTTGTTTTTTTTTTCAAAAGAACTTTTCTAGCAAAACCTTAGTGATAAAACTGAACACTGCTGTGCGTGAAGAACCTTAAATGTCAACAAAACCTGCAAAGTGTGACATGATGTGACATTGACCTATTGCTGAAGTATTCAGTGCCCTAAATCAGTATTTGCTGGAAGCACCTTTGCCAGCAACCGCTTGTACAGTTAACTTGTAGATAGGTCTCTAGCAGCTTGGGTTGGTATACTTTGCCTTTCCCTGTGCTACTGAGATAGAATCCAGGTTTGACATCAAAGTGGCTTTTCTGATGGATATAAAACACAGGCTTTTGCATTGCCTTTCAGCTGGATTTCTAATAGAAATGAGGTACCAGGCTTTTAAAACACAGTGATGTAAGGCCTAGTCATGCTAATCACAACATAATTCTACCCAGCTTTGACAAGCTTTTATGTTTCCCAGCTGGCGCCCACAATGAGCCTGCAGGTGATGGGCAATGCGGAACAGGGTGCCCGGGTAGTACTGTGGTCGGAGAGCCGAATGCCCAAACAGACCTGGAATGCCCAGCTTAGTGGGTGCATTGGGAGTCGGATTTTCCAAGGAATGGTGCTCGATATAAAAGGTGAGCTTCACCCAGTTGCTCCCATGAAATGAAATCTGGATTCCTGTTCCAAAATAGTGAAATAGGACACAAAGAGCTTAATGGATTTATCTATTATATACTGTATATACAGTATCTCATGTTTGTTCTAAGGAAAAAATAGGAGGATATTCTGCCCTTCTTGCTCAATTGAATGCTGGTAGCTTTTCAATTCTAGAATTTCATCAAATCGTTTCTTGAAGGACCCCAGAGGAAGAGATTCAACAAATCATTAAATAAAACTCTATGACTAATAAAATACAGAAGATCGTATGGCCACCAGTAATTTGTTTTTTCCATGTCTAGAACTTGAAATCAGAGAGCGTTTTCATCAGTGAATCAGAGAACCGTTTGTTGAATTTAAGATGAAATTTTTTTAGATTTAAAAATGCAAGACATATGAGCAAATGCATCTAAATATTTTGCTCCAATAATTCTTGCACTACTGTATATTTTAAAATAAAATAATGGGTGAATAGGCCCTGCCAGCATTGACATCCTGTGCCTAACTATACAGTACAATGTACTGTGTCTGTACTGTACATGATTTGCTTAGGAGTAATCATGCTTAGTAATTAGCAACACCTAATACAATGGCCATCTGTGTTTGGTAGTCAAAAAACTGTAAATGTTGATAACTCTTTATTTGAATGTTTCTGCACAATGGCTTCACAACGGCTATACAAGATATTATAATCACATGCATGATTTATAAAATCAAGCACAAAAGGCATAACCTGCGAAAAAGAGGTCATCACATTTGTTTTAGCATTAATTAGAGTGCTTGGCATAATGCATGTGACATTCTATGTCATGTGGTATGTTGTCTTTTGCTTATGTCCCTTTTAAACATTATGCATGTGATTATAACATTTTGTATAGTAGTTCATAAGAATTATGAAGCCATTATGCAGCAACATTTACATAAAGCATTACCTAAATGTTTTATATTTGCTTTAGGCAGTGTTAGATGACAAAAATAGCAGAACCGATACAGTATTGTTATTTGTGTGTTCTGAGATCCTGTTCTCTCTCTGGCATTGCAGGGGGCAAGACCTACGACAAGGATCATGTAGTGATCTGGCAGGAGAGTGGGGAAAGGCCTTCTCAGCAGTGGGAGCTACAGATCTTGTAGAACACACTGATGGAAATCTGAGGAAGGAAGGAAGATCAGGCCCAGAGAAGGATTAGTGTCATCTTCCTTAAAACCAAAGGTCCTGGTCCTGGAAGGAGCAGAAACTGTTTACACTGGACTTACCTCTCAGATCTCAGTGGAGCTGGACACAGTACCCGGCCGAGGTGCAGGTTTAACCTCTGTCTCTAGTACGAGTGTGAATTCTATAGGGAGAAATGGCCAAGCGAGTAACAGGTTACACGTTTGAGCTGCTGGATGAAATCAAAGGATGTGAGCACTATTCTCCTGCCTCCTAATACAAATCCCTGTCAGCAAAGCTTTTTGAAGAATTATATCAGCATCTTCAAAATAGGGTCTTTAAAAGAGCCCAGGGGGAAAAAACTCATTCCAATGCACTGTACATAAATGTAGTTTCTTTTTTTAAATAATGTATATACATTTTGGTACATTCTGTAGATATGCTTTTTTATTTTATGTTTTATATTTTTCTTTCATACCAAAAAAGTTATGATTACTTACCTTTTGGATTATTCATAACTCTTTCTGTCTTTGGAGTATTGTTTTAGAGCGTAGTGTAAAGTTAAAATATTATATTAAATATTATAATATGTAACTTTGTGCTTCATTACAATTTGCATGAGAGTGTGTAGCTTTTAAGACCTGGGATGTCAAACATCAATTAAATGGTTTCATTCTGTTTTCAGTTCTTAGGCAGTGACAGTTTTGTGTATGTAGTTGTACTGTATATTTAGTATACTATTCATATATACACTTGGCATTAATTCTGCTATAGCCCATCAGAACATGTATGTGTGAAATTGTTTAATAGGCTTTGCTGAGACAATACAAACTGCTCTGGATTAAAATGTTCCAGTAATCGCTCCTCAGATTAGAGGCAGATTATCTTAACCACCATGTATTTTAAAGGTGTAAAGAAACCAAACCTCCAAGAAAGATCCTACATGAATAAGGAGGATCTGTTATTGAGTAAACAAAGGTAAAAAACAGATGTAAAATATGGCAAAGTACAAAAAACAAACCATGGGAAAACAAAATGTAAAGCTTTGTGCATAAAATTTGAAAATCACTTCTGTATTGGTTGTCATAATGCCTCTGGGTCATATTGAACTACTGTAATACAAGTGTAGGCAAAGTAAAATGCAGTTTATGCACACTTAGCAGGTGGTAAACTTTAACAGCCTGTCCTGGATTTCTTGTGCAGTGTAGAAATGCCCCAATGTCACAGTGTTCTGGATGCAGTCGTCTGTTCTGTATTATTTTGCAGTGCATTATTTATTTCAATGTATCTGATATGAATCCTGGTCATTGGGAATATGCAGTAAAAATCTTACGAGATTGTTTAAATTTTTTTTCTGTTTGTATCTCTTGTGCATATGTAATAGTGTGTGGTTGCTGTAAATGGACTTTTCAGTCTTCTGGACTGAAGGAAATGTGAACGCTGAATGCTGAATGGTATTGTTGATGTTATTTTAATGATGTGAATGATAATTACAAGAATCTAGCTGTATCAATTTAGATTTCTGTTTTTAGGGCTATTGTCAAGAAATGAAAGAAAACTGAAGGTTGACAAAACTGAAGGATGTTTTAATGTTATTCATCTTTGAAAGAGCAGCAAACGTTGGACATCTCCACCAGCCTTGTCACCTCTCAACTGGGGTTTAGATTATCTGGAAACGTGGAATTGGAGATCATCAGTCAAGGGGTCTTCAGCCATTCTATTGGGTGTTGTTCACTCCTATTCTTGCTTGCTTGGAGTTTCATTTTAATGCAAGAGGAACCATATGACAGTTATTAAACACTTTACATTTTACATAATACTTGAGCCAGAGAGCTGTTGAATGTTGAGTTATAACTGTAAAGCATGTTGTGTGGAAAACAAGCTCTGTATAGGACTATGACAGGCAATGCAACATAGCCACATCTGGGTCTATTCCTAGATTCAAAAAGAAAACCAGAAGAGAGCAACAGATAAGGATGGTTGATATATACTGATTTGTTTCACTGCTGTGTCGTATTGTATCTAACTTATATTCCTATATATGGTTCTGTTTATTAGAAATGTCTTACCTTAGTTATGTTGGTTGACTCAATGATATACAGCAAATAGACTTTCCCCAGAATATTTACAGTACAGTGCTGCTCATTGGTTTTTTTTTTAAATAATAAATTTTAAAA